GAATCGGACGGATTAAGAGGTTGTCTGAAATAACCTGCCTTGGGATAAGAATTGTCAGGAGTAGGAGAGACCTTAGACCGGCGCTTCCGAACCAGGGTGTCAGGTAAACCGGTTGAAGTAACCTGTTGGCCACTGTGTCGGGTTGTCCGGCGAGCTTCATGCTGTTGAGTCTTCAAAATAAATGTTGGATCCAAATGAGCAAGAGGATGAGAAAAGCTTACTTTCTGGACTGCTTGACGGGTTTTTTGTGTTGGCTTAGAGTCTGAACCGGAGGAAAGGGTAATTACCTCTACATCATCAGCTTGACTGCCTTCTGCGTCCTCCTGAGGAAGATCATTGTTAATGGGATGCATGAAAAGGGAGTCAAGTGAGTCAAGTTCTACCTCAACTTCCGGATCATCAGCATCATCATCAAGTTCCATGTTAATCCGGTCAGCCGTTTTCTGTTTTGACGTCCGTTTGACGGCTTTGGTTTTGGGGCGAGAAGGTTTGACCGCTTTATCCCCAGTTGGCTTTACTGCTTTTTCTATGAATTTCCATTCCAGACGGGATCATCACCCTGTACATACATACGCAGAAGAAGGATTACACGTTGAACATATTAAAGATATCAAGGATGAAAAGGAAGTATAGTACTTACATCAGACGGTCTGTTCTTAGTATAGAAGGGGTTCAGTCCGGTTTGACTACAGACTACTTCCGTTTCATTCAAAATTTTCTTTACACTTTCCGTGACCTCTTCATCGGTCACCTGAATGTTGCAATGACGTTGTGGGTCTTCAACATCACCGGTGTACTCACACATTAAACCGGGGCGCCAGCTTAGCGGCAAGATGCTCCAAGATATCCAACAGCGCATGAAATCAACGCCTGTTAAACCGTTGGCCATGAAAGCCCGGAGTTTGGCGAGTTGAGGGGCATATTTGGCCCTTTCTGTAGAGCTTAAGCGTTGCAACATTGGATGGGTGTTGGAAAGCCGGTGATCACGAAAGCCTGGGAGGGGATTCTCATCTTCAGGAGACATATCTCTGCAGTAAAACCAAGTCTGGTTCCATTCCTTAGGATGGCTGTGCAGTTTGGCATGAGGAAATTCAACTTCTTTATGCTTCTGAATTGAGACATCACCAAGTTCAGTGTTGGGGCCATTTACAAATTCTGTGTGCCGGTTTAGGTGAAAGAAGTCCCGGAACAGCTCCGCAGTTGGTTCTTCTTGTAAGTACACTTCACAGAAGACCTGGAAGTTGCATAAATTGGAGACCGAGTTGGGTCCGATATCTTGAGGATGAAGTTGGAAACTGGCAAGCACATCCCGGTAAAACTTTGACCCTGGCGGTTTGAAGCCACGGCCCATGTGATCAACAAAGACAACCAGCTCACCCTGCCTTGCGGTTGGAGGATTTTCTGCTCCTGGGACTCGCCATTTAATTTCAGTTTTCTTAGGCAAGATGCCGATGCTGACCATATCGTTCAATTGTTCCTCGGTGACCCGGGAACGAGCCCAGTTGCAAGCGGTAAATTGCTTGGCCATTGTGGAATAAAAAAGCTGGAAACGAAAGGCCAGTTTATAAATCACTCAAGATGACGTATAAGATGCAATGGAGTAAAAGATATACTGAGTTATGAAATTGCATAAATCAGAGACCAATGAAAAAATGGATAACAAGGCAATACTAGAACAGGGGTACCCAGACACTGTTAAACCGGAGTACAACTATGGAGGTGAAAGGCTCCTCCGGTTTATCAGAGGGCTAATGGTATAGATTGCTTATACAAAGTTAAACCGCCTATATTGGTGTGAGGGGAAACAGACCTCACATGTTTATATAAAAATTTCAGATCCAAGGTATGATAGAAATTGGAAAATATTCAGGTTCAAGATTCAGGTACTTAAACAGTTCAGTAGATCCAGATAAGTTGTTCTTGATATAAAGAGGGAGTTTAATGAGGAGAATATGATTATGGCTACAGTCGCGCAAGAATAACAGATCCAGCCTAGCCTCGTATGCTACAGATAAGAAAAGAGAGGAATATCACTGAAGTTTTCGATGAACTCCGATGAACAGTGAAACCCTAAAAGATAAGATCTAGGGTGGAAGTAAAAAAAGGGGTTACCAGTGTCACAAGAACGGCAGAGATACACTGCGGTTTTCTGGTTCGATCAGGGTGATGCAGCGGCCGACGGCGAGGCAAAGGCGAGGCTTGTCGACGGCGGCGACGCTCAGGAGCAGAGACCTCGCGAGGAAGAAGAAGGGACGAAGGGGTAGTAGGGAAGAAAAGAAAAAGGGTCCCCTGCCCCTATTTATAAGGCGCAACGATGCAACGGCAAGTGCGGGAATCGAGGAGCTCAAAAAATGGATAATAATAATGGTATCGCTTCGATGACTAGATATACGTTAATGAAGGTAATCTTCAGCATTAATGAAGATGACGTCACGACAGTTTACCCCGATCTGAGAAGATGACGTCACGGCGGTTTACCAAAATATGAGAAGATGTGGAAGACGAAGTTTTTACTAAGGATTGACATGAAACCTGTTCAAATCAATCTGGGGCCTAATGTTGGGGATATTACTACCGGACGTAAATCAGTCAGGAGTAGCCGGATTAACTTTATGAAGATTAGAAGCCCATGAAGATGTGAAGATGATGTCACTTTATGAAGGCCCAAGGCCCAGAAGTGAGTTAAGGCCTGTAGATGTAAACCGGCTTAATCATGTAACTTGCTTTGTAAGATAGGAAGTGTAGAGACCGAACCGAAAACGTTTATGATCCGGCTTGGGGACTCTGTAAACCGACGGGCGCCATCCATGTATATAAGGGGACGACCAGACAGCGGTTCAAGGGACAGACAACAACTCGAGAGTCAGACAAAGCGGATTCGCTCCCTGGCCTTCGAAACCCAAGCAATACCAATCACAACTAGACGTAGGCTTTTACCTTCATCGAAGGGGCCGAACTAGTATAAAACTCCCTGTGTTCCCTTGTCCGGTTTAACCCCTTTAAGCTAACCCGTTGCGATGACTCCACGACTAAGTCCTTTCACAAGGACATCTGCCGTGACAAACCCACGACACATGGAGTGGTAGATATTTTACCCCGAGATGGAGGCGCAACAACAAATTAAAAGGAGACTCCCGGTGCCGGCGGCGAAGCGCTGTCTGACGGTCGGTACACCATGAATCCCGAGTTTGGTGTCGACCGGAGCATAGGCTAAGGGAGTCGTCGGGGCCTTCGTTGGGCAAAGGGGGAGCACCGGCATCAACGAGGCATGAGGATTGACATAGACCCCGTCTTTAATTTACTTTATCAAGAACACATTAGTTCTTATTATCTTTTAAACATGAGAAATAGCAAAACGATAAAAGATTGCAATCAAAGGACCGCTTTCCCGCGCCTTTTTTTTTGAGCGGTCTAAAACGTGGAGCGACACAGACCCCTTCTCTAGTTTACCTTTTTGTACCGCAGAGGCACAATTTCCCCGCAGTCTGCAGTGTAACTTTTGTTGCACCGTCGGCCTCACCCACCACACCACCAAATCAAACCCGTCCGTCCCATCCCAGGAACAACCGTGTGGAGCGCAGCAGCGCTACTACTAGTCAGACCGACCAGGGTCAGCATCGCAGGAAAAATCACCGCGAGCGGAGCACCACCAACCAAAACCATGGCCCAACTCGTCCATGTCGGATGATGGCACGGGTGCGAACGGGAGAAGCAACCGCAACCGCAACAATCCACCCCGCCACTTTCCCCCTCGAGGAAATGACGGATTTGTCCGGGCGCACGCGGTCCCGGCAAGGGCGAGGCAATCCAGGCTTCCGGGAGGGTTGAAAGTCCAAGCCATATCGGCACGAGCCGCAGCGGTCGCCTACCCGTTGAACCGCGGCGGACGCCTCCTCCCTCCCTCCTTCCTCCCTCCTCGCGCGCCACCCCGACGCTACCGTAGTCAATAGAATAAAGCCGCGCGAATAAACTACTGGCGCTGCCGTTGCTTGCTAGTAGCACCAGCAGTGGCACCGGTCAAGGCCCTTCGCTCCTCCTCCCACCTGTTCGTCCGAGCTCCACGCCTCCACCAACCCACTCGCTCGCTAGCTCACCAGCCGCTGGCCGTGCCGCGGGCGCCGCAATCGCCAAGGGGCGGGTGGAAAGCGCCGCTGGGCGGCAGCAACAGTGGCTTACAAAAGGCGGAGGCCCCCCTTTCCCTAGCGGCCTGGTAGCAGTCGCCGTCCGTCCGCGTCCGCATTTGCTCGCCCGCGCCCGACCTCTCCGGTCGCCGTCGCCGTCCTCGGTCAGGTATCCATCCGCCCGCCCGCACGCCCGCCGCTCCTCCTCCTCCTCCTCCTCTGTGCTGTGTCGGCCGAGCTGCGCTGAATCAATTCAGTTCAATTGCTGTTTGTTGGGAGCGGGGTTTGAGGCCGGTTTCTTCGGTTGGTTTGTTACTGTCTCTCTTCCCCTCTGCGATCCTTTCTTCGCGATTTTTCTGCTGGGGAAAGGAACCCACTGATTTTCCGGTCGCCAGTTCGCTTAAGTTTTTTCTCCTTCAGAGTAAAGTTTCAGTCTGAGGTTAAGGTTACAGTTTTGCTTCCCCTCTCTTCTTCTGTTCAATTCATTCATCATGGTTTTCTTGGTTCCTTCTCCTTTTTGGATTCTCGTACTTTTCCATTTCCACCTTCCGTTTCCCAAAGGTAATCTACCCGTGTGTGTAAACTGAAAACTGACAAAGTAACTTTGGGAGATGCCGGTGATACCAGGGCCAATACTTTGCGGAAACGTGCATGCTCTTGCCGTGACAAAATCCACCTGCTTTTATTAGTCCTTTATTTACCACCCACTCTGTTTACCTTGTGCGCATACGCGTCATCGACCTTATTAGCACGTCGGCTCCAAGTCTGGATTGCTGATTAGGATGGTCTTGCTGTCACTGTCAATGCTTAAATTATCTTCACCCGCGGTGTTTAACAAAGTGTTAATAATATGCCAGTTGCCTTATTATTCTCCGGTCAATGAAAGAGAGTTGCTTCATTTGGATCAACCCTCCCTCCGGGCCATATAGCAGAGTTGGGTCAGGCACGTTGTTAGTATTTCTTCTTAGAATCCGATTCTGTCGAAATGCTTTCGCAACTTGTTTCTTTGGAGGCATCAATCTTTTGCCACTGATACCAAGTTGCTCCTAATTCTTTTGTACAGGCATGGCCAGCTCCGGAGGGTTCCGGTATGCGGCGATCCTGCTTGTTTTGTGCATTCTCCATGTGGACGTCGTAAGGGGACAAATCACTCACCCTACTGAAGGTAACCTCTCTAGTTGTTACTTGGAAATTGCTCATCCCAGAAAAGAATTTGAATTGGCTCCTGATTGGTCACTATCAGCTTATTGGAGCATCGGATCTACATGCCTTGCCTGTGCAGATTTAGTTAGATTTATTTGTTTGTATGTTTGGACATATTGAAAGTATCTTTGAAGGGCTCATTCTTCTCATCCTGTGAAGATTCCACTTATGCGATGTATACTCCACTAGTATTCAGTTATGCTGATGAACTAATCAAACTAGTTCACAGACTGCACCTAGCCATACATATAGCTCTCAGTGATACACATGTCATTCCAGTAGTTACCTAGTAGCCTAGTGGACATAAGTTTAACTATACATGGTGGTTTTTGTTGAGATCACATATTAATATTATCCTGCTGAAGATTAAATAATTGTCTCTCGTACATGCAGTAAGTGCTCTCAATGCTATCAAAGGCAGTTTAATTGATCCTATGAACAAGCTGAAGAAATGGAATAGAGGAGATCCATGCACATCAAATTGGACAGGAGTCATCTGCCACAAGATACCCAATGATGCATATCTTCATGTAACAGAGCTGTATGATTGACACACCATCCTTATTTATATCGCACTTTCGTTTTTTCTCCGCCATGGTAATGGTTAGCTACCCAAAAAAAAAAGTATTCTGTGTACTTGTACAGTGAGCCCTCTGCTGAAGCAATTAATCTTGCAAGTCGTAACAAAGTGCTGCTCACAAATAATAGCAACATGCATAAAAAGAGCTCCCAAGTTAAACTGTAACTGAAATAGCAATCACCGTTAGCTAGAGATCTTCCACATCTCCAATTTGCTTGCAAGGATATTTTCTTACTCCAAAGAATATTACACTCAAACTTTATACCAAACCTTACAAGTCACCAGGTTCCCCCAATATTTAACATTGTTTCTAGCATTATCAGTACTGTACTCCTCTTGTTTACTGTTTCAGACTAAGTTTGCAATTCCTGGTCAAAATAGTGGTCATTTGCTGATGCTTTTATTGCTTTAACCTATTCCGGGTCTTAAAATCTGCTTGTTATTCATTTATCTATCATTTCTGTATGATGCATAATATAATGATCATGTGTCATATTCCCTTCTGCTTAATAATGCATACCTTTTGCCCACGTAGGGAGTTGTTTAACATGAATCTTTCTGGAACTTTGGCACCAGAGGTTGGTCTTCTGTCTCAGCTGAACAAGTTGTAAGTATAAAAAGCTGCTAACTGAATTTAGTGCATTCAAGTGGTTCTTTAATATTACCTGAAAAACAAAACATGTTTTCCCCCAATATTGCACCTCATGGCCTCCACTTAATGTTTTCTTGTTGGAAGGGACCACTTCATGTTTTTTTTAATGTAAAGTGGCTTTTGAGCAAGGCTCAAATTCTCTGGCAAAATAAGCTTACTAGAGTGACATAACAAGACAAAAGAATTGATAGATCTTGTCCCATTTGAACTGTTTCTTTCTTTATTCTGCATCTATGCTTTTCAGGCTGTGCCATTAGGTACCCAACATATATTGAGCTAACTTCTATATTTTTCTGTTTTGGAAGGGATTTTATGTGGAACAATTTGACTGGTAACATCCCGAAAGAGATAGGCAATATCACAACACTCACTCTTATGTAAGTTCCTCTTATCTAAACTAACTTTTGTACTCTTTTTTTAGTATGGATATGACCACGGTACTGTTTATCTTGCAAGGCTACAGAAGTTTAAGCACTGAACCCTGCATGTTAAAAATGGCACAACATTTACCGTCCTTTTCTCCATCAAAACAAAAATATAGGCCCATGTATCTGATTCAGCATTTGGGGTTAGCATTCGTGTTTTGGTCTCATCCTTTTTTATTGTTTACACAGGCACAGTGGTTCAATCTTCTATATTTATTAAAAAACCCCAGTAGATGGGCTAAAACAACGTGGCTTTGGACTACAAAATTGTCATATTCATATTTTCTCTCAAATATACGTGTACACTAGCACTGAGCCCATGCGTTGCTACAAAACCAGAAGATAGTGAGTGGCATGGATGATCGTTGGGGAAGCATTTGTGTCATCAGATCACTGCATGGTTCCAGTGAGGGAAAATAAAGCAAAAGGATGTGGGGGGAGTTGCAGACAGCGATGCCCCGGAGCAACTGAAATGGCCATGTGAGAGCCATTGCAATATTTGAAGAGAGATGAATTTCCAATTTTGAAACAGGGGGGGGAGGGGGGGGATAGGGGAAGAGATACGGCACGAGGAGTGGTTGGGTAAGAAAGAAGGTAGCAGGACGTATGAGGTCTTTCGTTGCGTTACAATTAAGTAAAATTGTTCGCTCCCGTATGCTACAGTATACCCCATGGAGAGTTGGTTGGGTGGAGGGCTCGAACCCAGAGAAGTATTTTTAGCTGGTGTCTCATCCTGCATTTGTTTAATTGTGCAATTTACATGAGTGTTGGTCCCGCATGCGAGTAAGAACACAGTGTAGCACATCTTTGAATCTTCCCTCGTCTTGTGGCAATGTTTGTTGTGTGGGTTAATGTCCTTACTCTTCTATATTCACTTTTATCCAAACATAAATATGTGCTACTGTCTAGTATTTTTCTTCAATTCTAGCATGGAAGATGAGTAAAAAAATTCGGGACACAAGTAAACATTCATAACCCTTCGTAATAATATTCACTGTTGCTACCTCATTTTTATGCAGAACTTTGAATGGTAATCAACTATCTGGTTCCCTACCAGATGAGATTGGCTATCTCCAGAAGTTAAACAGATTACAGATTGACCAAAACCAAATATCTGGACCCATACCTAAATCATTTGGTAATTTAACAAGCATGAAGCATTTGTAAGTTTCAGGATCATAATCTTCTCACTTTCATTCCTACGCTGCCTCTTATTTAAGCATTGTTATAATCTTGACTCTTCTTTTATCTCTAGTCACATGAACAATAATTCATTGAGTGGGCGAATTCCACCTGAGTTGTTCAGATTGCCTGTGCTCCTTCATCTGTAAGTGGGCCTCTGCTTTTATTTTGAGTTCTGAGCTTTTTTTTTTCTCCCTGTTATGCATTATTCAGCATGAGTTTGTGTTTTAAATTGTCTCATACTATTAACTGTGCAGGCTTGTGGATACCAATAATTTATCTGGGCCTCTTCCTCCAGAATTAGCGGATACACGTAGTTTGAAAATACTGTAAGCCCATCTTATATACCCAATGAGATTTCTTTGACATAGAGAATGTGTTCTGGTTTCTCTCAGAGAATATATGTATGCTGGTTGCCTGATGGTTACTTTAGTTTTGCTCATCTGAGGTGATTAAATAATGCTGCAAATTTCAGGATTATATTTGATATAACTTTACTGGTGTATTAAATGTCATTTAAATCTAATTTATTCTGCCTACTAAACAATAACAAATATTTTTCTCACTCAGAATGCTTCTCTCCATTAAGATTAACTTGATACTGCTATCAAGCTAATAACATGCATTTCTTATCTGCATTTTTCTACTTCTAGTCAGGCTGATAATAATAACTTCAGTGGAAGTTCCATCCCTGCTGTATACAACAACATACGGACACTTTTAAAGCTGTGAGTACAACACCTTCCTTCGTACCGTCCTATCCTTTATTTTCGTATTTGAGTAAGATGCAGGGGACTGCATATCATACATAATCATATTAAGAAATATGCTTACATAGGTAATCATAAGTTGAGTGAAGACAAACTTTGTTTGAAATGTATGTGTCGAGACTTGAGATATGAGTAAGCCAGAACCATATCTGTGCACTGAGTCTTCAGGTGTACTAGTGTACTAGAATCCAAATTAGCACCTCCGGAAGTATTGAAAAACTCCAATGGAGAAGTCGGTAACACTAACACAACCTGCATCTAAGCTTGTACTCAAGATCTTATATAATCACGGAGAAACAAAAAGGGAAATCATGCTATGGATGCTGGATAGTACTAAACTAAAAGTTCTTCTGGGTATGTACTATTCTTAGCAGGATTTGTAGTTTTCGTTTCTCGATGTGGATAATTCAGATATGAAAAACTGAGGCATGGTAGATGATGTCTTCTGTGTCTGTTGTGGAAAACTTTTCAATTTTTTCTTGACTTTTAGACATGCTAATATTTTGGGCATCATTTAATTAAGAGAAGTTTTCTAGTTACAAGTTGTTTGGCTGTGTGGATTACATGATGCAGAGGCCGGGGGCTATCCTCCTCGAATTTTTTTTACAAGAGCTGTGCAAAGATATGCCAGGGTCTGATAAAAGGGAATAAAGCATTGCTCTCATGGCAAGCATAGTAAAGGCTACTCTCAAGGCGGTTCATGAAACCGGTGGTGTAATGCACTCCGCCAATGCTCGGTCCCCACCATGATGTCTGAAGCCACTGCCTCATATCGCAGTTCTTCCCCTGGAAGACCCTCATATAGCAGCCAGATCAGGATGCACTCGGCCACATCTCTAGAGATCTCTATGATTGTAGTTACATAGGTTATTTTGTTTCTCTCGAGGGGCAAGCGTTTGGATGGACGTAGTTTCTTTTGGGTTTGTTGAGTTCAATAAAAAGTACTCCCTCCATTCACTATTATAGTAGGATGTTCTAACTTTTTTCTGTTTCGGACGTATATAGACACATTTTAGTGTGTTTGTCCACTCATTTAATTCTGTATGTAGTCCATATTGAAATATTCAAAACATCTTATATTTATGAACGGAGGGAGTATATCTCAAATATTTGTGGAGAAGTGCCTATCCAATTAGGCCCTATTGGATAGGGGACTTTTTCCCAAATACCTAATATTTTCATTTTGTATGAACTGAATCTCAATAACGTGCATTCTCTATCATACTTAAATTCAAAAATGGAGACATATTGAAGTTCATAATCCTTTTTCATCTCCCCAGGAGTCTTAGGAATTGCAGTTTGCAAGGAGTTATTCCTGATCTAAGTGGCATACCTGACCTTGGCTATTTGTAAGTCCAGATCAAATAAATGCTGCACTTCATTTTTCATTCTTACTGTTTCTGACCCTACTATCAGAGATTATCCTTTTTATTGTTAGTTCATAGCACCAATTTTGGAACAATTGCTTTGTCCAGAATATGTTTTCTAAGTAATTATCTTTTAATAAGAAGATTAGTCATTCAGCTTATGATATCTAGGAGATTATTCACATCTCTTTGCTAATTCTGGCATCCACCTGCAGGGATCTTAGCTGGAACCAACTGACAGGATCTATACCAACTAATAAACTCGCTTCAAATGTCACCAAGATGTATGATTCTCTTAGTAACTTTTTATACCTTTTAAAATAACCAAATTAACTTATATTTTCTGACAGTGATTTGTCGCATAACTTTCTTAATGGAACTATTCCGGCAAACTTCTCCGGGCTGCCTAATCTTCAGTTCTTGTAAGTAACTTGCTTTTCTGCTTAGTGAAAAGATGAGTAAAGCTTTTGCACAACCTCTAAAAAGATCGGTCCTACTTTACAATTACAAGTATGTCTGCCAGCACTACTTTGCTATTTATTTTGTTAGAGATATATGAAGAAGTCATTTTACAGGTCGTTTGAAGCGAACAATCTCAGCGGCGCTGTTCCATCGACAATCTGGAGTGGTATCACTTTTACGGGAAACAGAAGCCTTCTTCTGTATGATACTCTTTGTGTATGTACTTTCTACTAATCTGTTTGTGGTATGCATGTGTAATGTATTTTCTCCAATAATGCAGGGACTTCCAAAACAACATCCTTGACACTATTCCAGATGCATTTGAGCCTCCAAAAGCTGTCACTCTACTGTATGTTCTTTGCCATGGAAAATTTCGTTGACAGTTTGCACTTCCTGCACATGCATACACATAGCCCAGGTTCAGCTGTATAATTTGTTGGGAGTATGGAAATTTGATTGCTACTAGCTAGTGCAAACCTATAAAAGAAACGGATTCCTAAAAAAAGATCCCTCATAAAAGAAACATTAAGGTTAGTAAATATCAAATAATACGGACAATCCGTTCACAATACCCCTTCTAACCCGTGACCTTGCCAATGGGTTCACATTACAAGCCGGAACTTTGATTTGGTTCAGTTTACTCCCCTGAACTCAGAAAACCGTTCACAATACCCCTTCCTTCTCAATTGAGAGTTTTATCTGTTTCACTCTGGTTTCATGTTAGTCAACAATGCCACGTCAGATCCCCCCCCCCCCCTCTCCACTATCTACGTCATCTCTTTTCTCTCGTAGCTAGAATTCTTTTGAAAAAATCGAGTTGTGCAGGAAAATTGTAAACATTCCAGTAAATCAGAAATAATTCAGTGACGAATCTGGTAAAATTTCAGCATAAATTGACTTAAGGTTCGAGAGAAATTTGTGAGTTCCAGTAAATCAGGAATATTCAGTGACCAATGTGTTAAGATTTAATCTAAACCTAACATATGGCTTGAGTCCACGCAAAAAAAAGAATGGCTTGAGAGAAACCTTATGTTTTAGTTCGAAGTTCAATTTTGGGTCCAAAATTCAAACTGCACACTAAAAATTGAAAAATGAAGCAGTAATCAATAATAATTCAGTTACAAATTTGTGAAATTTCATCTCAAATTTTCATATATTTTGAGAGGAACCTAGTGTTTTTGTTTCAAGTGCGAGGAGGGAGAAAATAGATGATGTAGCAGAGAGGAGAGAGAAAAGATATGATGTGGCAGAGAAGACATTGAAAAATCTGCTGAATAGTCTGAAACCGGTCTGTTGAGAAGGAAGGGGTATTGTGAACATGATCAGAGGAGCTTTATAAATCAAACCATTTCTCTTTCTGGTGTGACAAGTAACCGTTACCATCATTGTGCTGCAGGCTTTTTGGAAACCGCGTATGTGACACTTCTAATCCAGCTCGAGCAGCCGGACTTTGTCAACCCACATATGTAAACGACGCACCATCTGGACATGGGCCACAAGTTAGTTTGAACTGCGCTCCTTGCCCGACGGATAGAAATTATGAATACAGTCCATCATCCCCTATACCTTGTTTCTGTGCTGTGCCTCTGGGAGTTGGATTTCGGCTGAAGAGTCCAGGGATCGCAGACTTCCGCTCCTACAAAGAAGCCTTTGAGATCGACTCGACCTCTGTATTGGGCCTGAGTGTTTACCAGCTATACATTGAGCAGTACACATGGGAGGCTGGTCCAAGGCTGAATATGAATTTGAAGTTATTCCCAAATAACACTAATTTATTCACGATATCGGAAGTTATGCGGCTCAGGCAATTACTTGCTGGATGGCAAATTACTCTATCAGACACTTTTGGTCCGTACGAGCTTCTCAATTTCACGCTTGGTTCCTATGGAGATGGTATGTAAACTTCACTTTGCACCAAGGGATGCCATTTGTAATTCTAACATACTAGCGTGTTCCTTGTCTGTATTTATTTTGCTAAGGCAGGCAATGGGATATTAGCAGAACTTCTGTTGCTGTTTATATGTTAGTAGAATTAGAAATCCATGAACTATTAACTGATTCTCCTAGCATATGGAATAATATGCGTTATTATGTTATTACAAGTGTTTAGCGCTATTATGTTAAATATTGATAAGTATTGCATGCAACATAATAATATTATTATTTTTGCCTTCATCTGGCCTATGTGCCATGAATTTTATGGTGTTTTTATTAAGGTATTTTTCATAACATGAATGTTTGAAAGTGGGCGTACCCTTGTTAATATCTCTAGAATTTCTCAAAGAACGGTCCTTCACGAGGCGCTTCGGAAGGTAAGGGAGATTGAGGAATTTAGGATCCATACCCTAATATGTTTCCTAACAGATGGTAGGACCCTCCATGGAAATGAAAAATGCTGAGATTTTGTCAAAAGGCATACTAACTTAATGAGGAATTAGAGTATATTTTTCTTATTTTAAAATTCACCACTCGATGCTTCATACTTGCACTGAAATACTCCATCCAGTTCTATGATCCACTTGTTTACTGTTTTGCCTCTGTTTTTTTCTTTGCAGATTTTCCAACTGTGGTGTCATCAGGTTTAAACAAGGGCGCACTAGCTGGGATTTTGGCAGGAACAATAATTGCTGCTATCGCAGTTTCAGTGGTTTCTACACTTTTTATAGTGAGAAGACGCTCAAAACGTCGAACAGTTTCGAGGCGGTCATGTAAGTCGGTATATTTGTTTAACAAACATAGCTTTTCATGTGCTGTGTATTAAAACCTTGTTGTCTGACGAATTAGAAATTCCTTGCTGCTTTATCTGGTCACTGGTGCTTAGGAGCATCTTTATTTTAGTAGGAAGTTACCCTTTTACAGTCTTTTTGTAATACTGGAAATTGTATTTAAGCTGTGAATTTATCACATCATTTCTGACTTGACCTCATCAAAATGTATTCCATGGCAAGTAAACTTTGAAATTGCAGTGGACATTAAAATTCAATCCACAACATCTGAAGAAGTTGATAATTTTGCAGTACTGTCGAGGTATTCCGTCAAGATTGACGGTGTGAGATCCTTCACATTTGAAGAAATGGCTACAGCAACAAATGATTTTGATGATTCAGCTGAAATTGGTCAGGGAGGTTATGGAAAAGTCTATAAAGGAAAACTAGCTGATGGAACAGCCGTTGCAATCAAACGAGCACATGAGGATTCTCTGCAAGGTTCAAAGGAATTTGTCACAGAAATAGAATTGCTGTCAAGATTGCATCATCGTAATTTGGTATCTCTGATTGGCTATTGTGATGAAGAAGATGAGCAGGTGTGTCTCAATTTTCGTATCATTTACATAGGATAAAATATAGTGTTGAAATTCTCTCACAATCCCGCACATTTTGTTAGAACAATATATTGGTTATGTTGTGCTAAAGATTTGGCGAGCTTATAATATATGGAAGAGTATCTGCAGATTGCAGTAATTGTTGCTCATAAATGATTGTGTTTTGCAGATGCTGGTGTATGAATTCATGCCAAATGGCACTCTACGTGATCATCTTTCTGGTGAGTAGGCGGGAAGTTGCACATTCAAGTTTTCTTAGCTTCTTTTCACCCCATATAACCATCTTTGCGTAGTTGAAGTTGGTCATTATCCCAGCCCGTCTCCCGGAATTTATAGTTATTGTGTTTATCAGTGATGCATGTTGGTATATCGTGTTCTTTTGTTTGATCGTTGATAAATTAAAGTCCTAATATAATTTAACACCTCCTGCAGCAACGTGTAAAAGACCTCTTAACTTTGCTCAGAGGTTGCATATTGCACTGGGTGCTGCAAAGGGAATCCTCTATCTACACACCGAGGCAGATCCTCCTATATTTCACCGTGATGTTAAGGCCACCAACATTCTATTGGACTCCAAGTTCGTAGCAAAGGTGGCTGACTTTGGTCTTTCAAGGCTTGCTCCGGTCCCGGATATTGAAGGAAAATTGCCAGCTCATATATCCACTGTTGTTAAGGGCACCCCAGTAAGTCTCATTATCAATGTACCAAGATCTTATTTGCAAAAACAAAAAAAAAAGTACCAAGATCTGCACCTACAGTAATCTACTTACTGCTGTTCCATGCCAATTGCCACACAATAGGAAACAGCTGCGCATACTTATTCAACTTTTTTTTCGCATCGATACTTATTCAACTTGTAGTGTGCAAGTTTGGCTCATCGTATCTATCCTGTTTCCTTTTGCCAGGGCTATCTTGATCCAGAATACTTCTTAACTCACAAATTGACAGAAAAAAGCGATGTGTATAGCCTTGGTGTTGTGCTGCTTGAACTATTGACCGGGATGAAGCCAATCCAGTTTGGTAAAAACATCGTTAGAGAGGTACGGAGGTTCCCGCCCTGATCCGTATCTAATGTACAGTTCAATTTAACTGTTTGCCATCTGCAAACAGGGTACATAGCCTTACATTTTAGCTTTTGAGAATCTTGTTTGACCGTTCAGTAGTTTTACTAGTGACCTATTTAACCTGATCCTCAATGTAGGTGAACACAGCTTACCGATCCGGAGACATTTCTGGAATCATCGACAGCCGAATGTCCTGGTGCCCTCCGGAGTTTGCCACGAGGTTCCTCTCGCTGGGCCTGAAATGCTGCCAAGACGACACCGACGCAAGGCCTTACATGGCCGAGATCGCCAGGGAACTCGATGCCATCCGGAGCGATTTGCCCGAGGGAGAAGATTTCATGTCTGTAACCTCCATGGAGATAAGCTCCTCAGGCACGCTGACCCAATCTACGTCGAACTCCTTGATGACGACCACCGGGGAGCATTTCGATATATCCCATGCCTCCAGCAGCGGCGTCCCTTCCAGGATGGCGATGAATCCTCGCTAGCGTCGATGCACTGATGTTCTTCGCTTTTGTAAATGGGTGTGGGCAGTAGGCGTGTAAGTAATAGCTTTGTAGAATTAACGCTGGTCCGGCCTGCCCGCCGGTTTCTTCCTCTGTACATGAAGTGGGCGTTGTTGTTGTTGTGTGTTTGAAGATCAGGGGGTTAACTTATTGTAGGAGGTGTATTTGGTAGGCACTGTTGATGAGTGCGGACGATGAATGCTAACTAATTCTTTTCAGCTATGATCATATATATTTTTTTTCGAAAAGGGGGGCACCCGGCCTCTGCATCAGAACGATGCATACGGCCAACTTATTATAAATAAAAAGTTGTAACAAGGTCTGAAAGTCTCTGTCGGTGTCAAAACCGGCGGATCTCGGGTAGGGGGTCCCGAACTGTGCGTCTAGGCCGGATGGTAACAGGAGGCAGGGGACACGAAGTTTTACCCAGTTTCGGGCCCTCTCGATGGAGGTAAAACCCTACGTCCTGCTTGATTAATATTGATGATATGAGTAGTACAAGAGTTGATCTACCACGAGATCAGAGAGGCTAAACCCTAGAAGCTACCCTATGGTATGATTGTTGATGTGTATGTTGTCCTACAGACTAAAACCCTCCGGTTTATATAGACACCAGAGAGGGTTAGGGTTACATAAAGTCGGTTTCAATGGTAGGAGATCTGAACATCCGTATCGCCAAGCTTGCCTTCCACGCCAAGAAAAGTCCCTTCCGGACACGGGACGGAGTCTTCAATCTTGTATCTTCATAGTCCAGGAGTCCAGCTGAAGGTATAGTTCGGCTATCCGAACACCCCCTAATCCAGAACTCCCTCAGTAGCCCCTGAACCAGGCTTCAATGACGACGGGTCCGGCGCGCAAATTGTCTTCGGCATTGCAAGGCGGGTTCCTCCTCCAAGTACTTCATAGAAGATTTTGAACACAAAGATAGTGTCCGGCTCTGCAAAATAAGTTTCCACATATTGCCATAGAGAGAATAATATTTACACAAATCTAATCTGCTGACGTATTCCATAGCGCGACACACCACGGCCAAGCCTTTATCCGAATCGTTTCATTATCCCACCTCAGCGCGTTATGCGAGGCGGTTTCCTTGGCATGTCTTGTCAAAGCAGAGATCGTGTCCCTTTATTCCGGGATTCTCATCAATACGGGTGTGGGTAACCCAACCGCGCCTTTGATTATGGCGCTTGGAGATAAGCAAGTTTTACCAGGCTGGTGAGGACACATAATCGCGTCCCCCCATATAAGGGGATAAGGATCCACCTTTTCACCCACGCCTTCTTCCTCCTCTGCCTATCCATTCTTGCGCACTCGAGCTCCAGCGCCCAAGTCCGCACTACCACCTCGACCTTCTCCAGTCATGTCCGGAGCGGGAGGCAAGTGGATGGTCTCCTCCGTCACGGAGGGACATATAAAAAAGCTGAGGAAGGCCGGATATCTGGCCAGCGACATCGCGCACCGGCTCCCCGAAAAGGGGCAGCTCATCCCCACTCCTAGGCCCCATGAGAGGGTGGTATTTCTCCCCCATTTCCTTCGCAGACTGGGCTTCCCTCTGCATCCATTTGTCCGGGGGCTCATGTTCTACTACGGCCTGGATTTCCACGATCTGGCCCCGAACTTCGTCCTCAACATCTCAGCGTTTATCGTCGTGTGTGAGGCTTTCCTCCGCATCCGCCCCCATTTCGGCCTATGGCTTAAGACTTTCAACGTCAAGACGAAGGTGGTGCGCGGCAGCCAGGCAGAGTGCGGCGGTGCCATGGTTGGCAAGATGGCCACGTCCTGTGGCTCGAGGGCTCCTTTGTGGAGACCCTGAAGGGGTGGCAATCAGGGTGGTTTTATGTCACCGAGCCGCGCAACACCGAATGGGTCGCACCCCCTGAGTTTCGATCCGGCCCCCCTATGCGGCTCACCTCCTGGAAGGAGACAGGCCTGTCTTGGGGTAAAAAAGGGGAGCTGACCGGACTCCAAACATGCATCCAAACCCTGGTGGACAAGAAGCTCAGGCTTGTCAACGTAGTCCAGGTTATGCTCATCCGCCTGATCCTCCTGTGTCAACGACGGGCCTTCAACCTGTGGGAGTTCGACCCGGCGCAGCATGAAACTCTAAACAGGCTCTTTGACATGATGTACAAAGATGCCTGGAGGATGCTTTTCAAGGGCGCCGAGGCTCCTGCATCCGCTGCCGAGGATCGCGGATTCAGTACTCAGCATCACGCTCATGCGGTAAGGTGTTTTTGTCCTTTTATAGGGTATCAGTTTTTCATAGTTTGACTCTATGCGGGATCTGAGTTCCCTTATCTTTGATAGGATTGGATGGTGACGTCCGGACAGATCAACTGTCCGGCTCCTCTGCCCGAAGGCCCAGCGGACGCTTGCTTGGCGAAGATGCTGGTCCCGGCGCCCTATGTGGTGCCGGAGAAGAAGGCCACGAAAAGGGCCACGGGGACTCGAAAGAGTGCCCGACGCCAGGAGGTGTCGGATTCGTCATCCGACAGTCCCGAAGCGCCTTCCTCTCGTGAAGACGAGGAGGAAGAAGAAGAGACCTCTCCCCCTCCAGTGGGAGGAGAGAAGAAAAGGAAGGCCGCCCTCTCTGAGGAGGCCGGAGGGTCCAAGAAGGGGAAAACCCTTCCTCCGGACTGCTCCACCGACGCCGACGACGACGAAGAGGAGTGGCAGCCCAGGGCCAAGCCCCTGGCGAAATCGTAAGTATCCGGATACCGAAGTGACTCATAGTATTTGTTTATTGCACAACTTTCCCTTATGTCGAATGTGTTTATGCAGCCCACCCAAAGACCGGCTCGACGCGTCGTCGAGCGGCTCACTGGACTCGTCGGAGGTGAACTCACTTCCGACGGCTTCCTCCCCCCGCCCTACGGGCGACACCGAAGTGTTGTCCCAACAGGTTCCAAGCAGGGAGGAGGTGGTCCTGGAGGCGCCGCAAGGCGACCTCCCGGACTCTAGGAGTAAATGGGAGGAAACCCCCCAGGGCTCCAAGTCCGGCTTAAGGCCGGACAATGCTCCGGAATCTTCAAAGGTTCCAGAGTCCGGCGGGCGACCTCCTTCCAAGAGGAGCAAGCCTACCGTGCCGGTGACCCCCGTCCAACCGGGGGCGCTGGACAATCTGTTGGAGGTGCTCGAAGCCGCCTCCATCGAAGAGGAGCACCGCACTATTATGAGTGCGGTGGTCCAGAAGGTTCAGTCCGCCAAGAGCGGACTGACTGAAGCTTGTACTAGCCTTTTGACAGGCTTTGAGGTAAGTAAATAATGTGTAAATAATATTATCACATAGACAGTAGCCCCTGATGCTCTGTTGGGCGTTCGTGAAGAAAAGCCGAATAGAGGATCAAAAATTCACAGGAGTCTAACAAAGGAGTCAATATGCGTATGCAGGCTTCTCTGCTGGCGTCCGCCGCACTGACTGCAGAAGTGGACACACTGAAGCAGAGCCTCGAGAAGTCCGAGCAAGAGCTCGGGCGTGCCAAGAAGCAGCTCGAGGAGAAGGAAGGTAAGAAATACCTTGGTTGAATGTGTATATAAAAAAGGTGCAATTGCAAGAAATGATAGGATTAACATGGCTATTGTAGGGGCCACGTCTGAGGTGGCGACCCTTAAGCAAGCGCTGCTCGAGGCCGAGAAGAGTGCGGCCGTGGAGCGCACCGAGCGGGAGAGGTATGAGGCTGAGATTGGCAAGGTGCGGCAAGAGCTCCAGGTTCTCATGAAGAAACATGAGAGTTTGGAGCTTGACTCGAAGACGCGAGCGTCCGAGCTCGCGGCAGCTATAGAAAATGCCAAGTTTGCCAAGACCGAGTCCTAGAAGACCCTCCGGGAGTTGGATGAGGTGAAGAAGATAGCGGCGGGTAAGGCATTTTTTATGCAAAGTAAACATATAAACATGAGTTACTTGATACTTACCCGAATCCGGAGCTCTCCAGGGGCATTTGCAGATCTTCCCCGGAGTGTATCCGATGCCGCCGCATTCTATCGAGCCGAGGAGGGCAGCTCGACGGAGAAGGTGTTCTGGTCTCAGTATGCTGAGGCCGGACACCCCGTGCCCCTGAGCGACCAGCTGAAGCAACTGGTCGAGCTCCACAAGGCGGCCGAACAGGCCATGAAGGGCCTCCTAGTTTGGCTGTGGCCTAGAGAGGCCCTGCCTGGGAGCTATTTCGGGCTGGTGCGGTGGCTGGTGGAGGCCTGTCCAAGGTTCGAGGTTATCAAGCGCTCCGTCTGCATCGAAGGTGCCCGTAGGGCCCTTGCCCGTGCTAAGGTGCACTGGGGCAAGCTGGATGCTGAGAAGCTTGTGAAGGATGGGCCACCATCGGGGAAAGAGCATCGCAAGCCCGAAAATTACTATAAGGATGTTCTGAAGGGTGCCCGCCTTATGGCGGATGAATGTACTAGGGATGTAATTTTTGAGTAAAACTCGCTTGTTTTTGTCCTGTGCGCTGAAAACTTGTTCGTATGCGCTTAGCAAGGTTGTTTGGATTTAAAATATTACCTTCTGTGCGGCTGTTTATCAATTCTGAGAGATGGCGAGTCGACGGCTTCTGCCCCCATGCCGCTAGTGCTGGGGTGTTCGGGGATAAACCTGAGCACTCTTTTTCCCATGTTTGGGTCCTTCGAGGGAGGCGCTTAGCCCAGCGAACGAGGCAATCGGACTATAACGCATGAACACTCTCACTCAGCCATAGAATTCTATAATTTTAAATTTCGGCAAAGCCCCTAGTATTTGGAAGACCGATTTCGGGGCGCTATCCACGCCTTGGCCGGACAGAGCCGACTCCTCGCCCGAAGCGGCATAAGTCTTTAGGGACTCGAAAAAACCTCTCGAACAGCGACCAGCTCTCGCTTCATCATGACAGTCAGTTTTAGCTTTCTCCACTGAGGTGCTCGGCCCAGCTCAACTGGGGCACAATCGCAGTGGTTCTCCTAGTGCTACCTTAGCCGATATAGCGGAATGTAAGGCACCAAAACATAGGAGCCGG